ATGGAGAGAGAGACGGAATGGAGTCTCAGAGAATGGGCACCAACTGGTGGCTGGCACAAAAATAAAAATCCCCCATGTCTTTGTTGCTCTTTAATATTGACACCTCCAAAACTTGCTTTCCCTAGCCTGAGGCTCTTTATAAACATAGACCATTATCCTGCCCACCAGCAGGCCATGCTAGGGCTGCATTATGGGACCCGTAGTTCAATACAGAGCCTCTCGTCCTTCTGTATCGCGCGGGTTCCAAAGTCTTTAGTTGCTTGTCAGATTTAATCAGATGGCAGAGCAAAGTGCCTTCATTTTGCCTTCACTAAAGGAACCCCTAGGTGCCAAAATAAACTTACTTCTAATCATCATCTGTTGCTTCTAATAGCAACTGGCTGACTTCCGGTAATCCGTCGTTTATCTATCATTCATTTATGTAGCGTACGGCCCCCTACAAGGGTCGTGCGCTTCCTGCTAGATTAATTTAGTTTAAATAAAGCGTATATGTGGGCTGAGAACGGGCGCAAGTGTGAAAAATGGCCCTGAGACACTCTTTTCGGTGCCGTTATAACGTTCAACGGGTCACTCAGTGAACTGTCGTACATGGAGGACTCCCCGTAGTTTTGGAACGAATTTATTTGGAACAAAACGACAGGGAATCCGGCGGGAATCCTGGTAATTTTGGCCTCTACGGGGAACCGTGTTGGAGTGGAAAGCATAAATTTTGGTTAGTTTCGAGGGTCTCCGAAATCAGAACTCCTTTCCTTTATTTTCAGCATCTCTCCTCCCGTATCCTTGCACCATTCTCTCGTTTTTCTCACTCTCCGTCTCTCTCTTCCCTCCTCCGCCTCTTCCCCTGATTTTCCCCCGACTTGCACTCAGTCTCTCTTGTGCCCCCCCGGATTCTTCTCAGCAGCTTGCCTGTCCCTCCCCCCTTGATTCTTGTCCCTCTCCCTTCGCGGAAACGCACCCGTTCTTTTCTCCGCCTTCGGGACCTCGTCCTGGTTGCCTGCGGTCAGTCTGCCGAGCGCCGCTCAGCCGCGGTCTGACGTCGCGCGCCTTCCTCTCTCCTCTCCCGTTGCAGCCCCGGAGGCTCCTGTGATCGACACGCAGCGGACGTACGCCTACGACCAGATCTTCCTCTGCTGGCGCCTGCCGCAGCATTCGCCAGCCGCCTGGCACTACACGGTGGAGTTCCGGCGGGCCGAGCCCAAGGGCAAGGCGCTCAAACTGTGGCAGAGGCGGGAGGAGGTCCGAGGCACCAGCGCCATTGTGGAGTACGTGGACACGGATAGCGTTTACGTGCTGCGCGTCCGAGGATACAACAAAGCGGGCTTCGGGGACTACAGCGAGGATATCTATTTGCGTACACCGCCCGCACCTGGTAACTTTTCCCTCGTTTCCCTCTGTAGAGACCCAAGTCACTTTTTCCAGGGCTGTTCTCACTTTGAACGAATGCTTGTAACGCCGCGTGTGTTCCAATGGTGGGTTCTTCTCCCCGTCGCTATGGGGCCACACGTCCTTTCGTGCGTATGCACTGCCCCTGCGACACCCAGCTGCTTGTCGGATCTCGCACAGGCGCTGCACGCAATTGGCCGGTTGCTTTAAAAAGCGGGATGGAACGTGGGCGGGTGGCGGGAGGCGGGGGGCAAACGAGCCACCATACCGGTACGCTGTCAGCAGCTCCCGGCTACTTCCGGTACGCCCGTACCGGCCAGAACCCACCACTGGTGTGTTGACTGCAGCGGTATCCATGCTGTGGTTTAGACTTCAGTTCCCTGAGTAACGTTGGTTTAGCGGCCGTTCTGAAGTTACAGCGGCATTGAAAAGAGTGACTTTGGACTGCTTTCACACCGTTGCAACCTCTCCGTGTTCGCCTGCTCAAAATTCAGACCCCCCATGGAAGCTTCGTATCTATGACGGTCGCCACATCCCAGGGTCACGTTGATCCCCTTTTGCGACCTTCTGACAAGCAGCGTAAACGGCGTGAAGCGAGATTCACACGTGTCTAACTTAAGTGGGGTAATTACTGAAGGGGGGGGTTGTAAAATGGGGCAAAAGTCATTTAACTGTCTTGCTTAGCAACAGGAATTTGATGCTCGCTTGTGGTCATAAGTCCAGGACTACCAATAGCTACTTCTGTGTTGCATGATCTCCTGGAAGTCGGAATTGTCTTCCCAACTGTTGCTTTTGTGTGTTCTACGTTGAAGTCTCATATGGTTTAGGATCTTCCTAATTCTCGCAGCTCCTGTTCTCATGTGGTTTAAGCGCTTCCTAATTCTTGGGGTTCTTGTTCTCATATAGTTTAGCGGCAAAGGTTTCCCCTCACACTTATGTGCTAGTCGTTCCCGGCTCTAGGGGGTGGTGTTCATCTCCGTTTCAAAGCCGAAGAGCCAGCGCTGTCCGAAGACGTCCCCCTGTTCTCGTACGGTTTAGGCTCTTCCTAATTCTTTCTTCCTCGCTTTCTTCTCCCATTCCCTCTTTCCTCCCCAAAGTGCTGAACTTCTTTCTGGACAATCGGTGGGGTTTCAACCGAGAACGCCTGGCCATCAGCAAGGACCAGCGAGCGGTCCGCAGCGTTCCCGGTCTTCCCATGCTGTTTGCCGCCGAGCGTTTGATGACCAGCTGCCATCTTTCGGTTGACTTGGTGATCGGCGATGTGGCGGTCACTCAAGGGCGCAGCTATTGGGCCTGTTGTGTGGATCCCAGTTCCTACCTGGTCAAGGTGGGCGTAGGGCTGGAGAGCAAGCTGCAGGAATGGTTCCAGGTGCCCCAAGACGTGACGAGCCCCAGGTGAGCAAATATTCGGAAAGAAAGAGAAGGAATGAAGTTTAGACACTTTTGCTGTCCAATTTGTATTCTACCTGTTACCGTTTTCCCCCCGGCTCAGGTACGACCCGGATAGTGGGCACGACAGCGGCGCTGAGGATACCACGTTGGAGTCATCGCCGCCCTTCGCCTTCCTGACCATCGGCATGGGCAAAATCCTCCTTTCCCACGGGGTGTCCCTGACCTCGCGGGATCCCGGCAACTCCACCGTGCCGTTGCCTCCCCGCGTCGGCATCTGTCTCGACTACGAGCACAGCAAAGTGACGTTCTTCGACGCCGTCTCCTTCCGCAGCCTGTGGGAGTGCGGGGTAGACTGCTCGGGGCCCGTCTGCCCGGCCTTCTGCTTCATCGGCGGCGGCGCCTTACACCTTCAAGAGCTGGTGGTCAGCCGTCAGGAACGGAAAGTCACCATCAGCGGCTTCTCGAAGCTGGATTGAAATTTGCCGTCGGGCCGATTCCGAGCATGTTCGGGGAGAGGATCAACCAGCAAGAAGGGGGGACCTTGGGGTCTGGAGTGTGCACGCGTGTTTCTCCAGCCCCTGCTTGCGGTGGGGGAAAAATGAAAAAAATATCTCAAGGTATGGGGTGGGTGAGTAGAGGATTTGGGCAATAGGAACAGGGCAGAGCATATGTTGAGCAATGCTGCCCTCTAGTGGATAGACTGTTTAAATTCTGATGGTGGCGGAATTCCTAGCTCCCCCCCATCCCAGCTGTGGGGGCTGAGAGCAACTTTCCCCCCACAGCCACCCCACGTAGGGCGATTTTTTAAAACTATCCAACATCCTTTCTCTGTTTCGTTCTCATCTTCCGATTCCCCCTCCCGTTGCGCTCCTGTCTGGGGCAGAAATCTCAGTTGAAAAAAGACAAATATGACCCCCCCCTCCCCCCAAAAAAACCTTGTTTGGAGCATGGCTGAGTTTGGAATGGCTTCTAATGCCTTTCTCCCCCCCCCAACCACGTTTTACGTTGAAAAAGATTTTTTTTACAAAATATTGTAAAACGCCATCTCGAAAACGTCCGCTCCTCACCTCTGTCTCTTTACTCGTAAGGTACAATCCGTCCCGCTGTACTCCCCGCGTAGTCATCCTTTTAAATTAATCTCTCTCGTTTTTGTTTTTTTAAAAAAAACTCCCTCGTCACGCTCCTCAAGTTTACCGTTTCCGCGAATCGCTCCGTAACTCGTTTTCCTAATTTTGGCAACTTCCGATTTTCCGTTGGTTGAGAAAGGGCCGGTTCTGACACCGCGGCTGACTTACCTGCCATGTTATATCCTCTCTCAGAAATCCAAGAGCAGCTGGGAAGATAAACCACGTTTTAAAAATTTCCTAGTGGTGTTTCCTCACCAGAGTTTGCTTCTTCAGAGGGTCGATCCCCCGCGCGACCAAGTGTCGATCCCCCGTCTGAAGCTATCGGCACAACCCACAAATGGATTCCAAAGCGGATTTTAAGTTTTGCAGCTAAGATTTCCCGGCTGAAAAGTCAGCGTGAATTCCCTCTAATTCCCTAACCGGGAATCAAGATTATGCCCCCCCCCTTTTTTTTCTAAAACAGTGGTAGATTCCCTTCCCCAAACGTTTCCTTCTCGTAAAAGTAAACCCAACCACGTGTCGCTTTTTGGTTTCTTCTACGCCAGAGCTGGTTTGACATCCTGAATTTCTGGTTTAGCTTGGGATCCATTTGATCTTCCAACTTTGGAAAAGCCGGGGAGGGGGGGAATTGTCTCCCCCCCCCTAAAAAAAACCCCAAGGATTTCTATGGATGTTTTCTCATCTCCTGCGGTTGTTCATTGTAAAAATGCAAAATCGATCCTAATGGAAATTTGTCGGATTTCTGCCCCCCTCGGAAGTTGTTTGTGATGTGAATCCTGAACTATGTCAGGCCGGATCCTGAAGGACGTGATAAATTGTGCCCTCAATAGTCTTCGATTTACGACAATTCTTTTTAACGACTTTCCAAGAAAAAAAAAGGTGACTTTTGCAACCACTCCATGATGACGCGATTCAAAATTTGTGCCCTTGGCCAACTTGCATGAATTGACGACGGTGGCCATTCCTCCGAGGAGGGGCCGTTTGCCACCGTCCCAGGTTTCGCTTAACGACCACGGGGGATTGGTTGAACGGCCCAGCACCCCCCCCCAAAAAGAAAAGAAAGATGCAGGGTCTCCAGCACCCCCCCCCAAAAAGAAAAGAAAGATGCCACTCATCTTAACGACCGGAGTGGAACTTCCGGTGGCCGTTATGGGTCGTCAGTTCGAATCGCTAGCTGTGATTTTTTTCGCCGCACGACCTTTCCCAGGTTGAACTGAACGCAGTTCAACAGGTGCAGAGCACGCGAGGGTCAAACAGGAGATTTGGTTTTCATTTCTGCAAAAGGAACTGTTTTGTAAGTGTTGAGGTGTTCTGTGAAAATATGGTGCCAGGTAGAATTACGTCCCCCCTACCCAAATCCCTTTCCCTAAATTAGCCCCTGTTTTATCAAACTTCCTCCTTGGGGGCCACTTTTTAAATTATTATTATTTTTTGATTCCCCAAGGAGAGCCATTCTAGATAGTGTGTCGGTGTTGTGACGGAATTTGTGGTCGCAAAACGAAAAAGGGCCATATCGGAGGCCGGCGTGAATCCCCGTGGAGGGGTAGGGGGATAGCGGGCTCGGTGGAGATTGGCGAGATCGCCAAGCGATCTTTCTCCGATCCCGAGGCAGCTTTTTTTGGGGGGGGGCCAAGCAAACCAGCATAATCCAAGCACAGGTGGCGAGTTCGAAAATCCAACGACACCACGACAATCGCTGCGGAGTTGGCCCCCATGGGGGCTTGTAGGACTATTGCTTCATCCGCCCCTCCCCCTAATGTTGTCCTTTTTTTAAAAAAAAATCATTAAGCCTCCCTGCCCTTCTGAGTCCACACTGAGGACTAGAATCTTGCTTCCATCACTCTTGCGCAATCCCCCCCGGCCTAGGTTGAAAAAAAAGGGCCTAGGGATGGATAGAGAGAGAGAGAGAAGAGAGTCTTGATGGGGTAGAAACTTTGCTACGTTCCTTCCCTCCCTCCCTCTCTTCTTTTTTTTGTTT